GGCGTGCTGATTTGGACAAATGACGACCGAAAATTGGCACGACTGGCGACCCAAGTCGCTCCTCCGAAGCAAAGCCGAGCACTCCCAGTGGGCGGGGTACAGCAGCGCTAGCCGCGTAAGGATTATCTGTTTATTACATTATCGAATCCCTTCCATTCTCGGACCAGGAAAGGGCACAGTCCGGGACGGGGGCACAAACAGAAGTTACGAACAGGGGAAGAAGGAAGGAGGAGACGAGAAGACGGCAAGACAGAGACGGCGCGCGGATTGGCCGGGGCGGCGCTAGTTCAGGCTCGTCCCGCGATGCAGCGCTGGCGTCGCTCGCGCCAACCGCGCGACCGGCAGCCCCGGGCCCGAGCAGGCGGCGCTGGGCGCGCTCAGTAGGCTAGCAGCAACCGACCACGACGGACGGTGTGCGGTCCGTCTGCGCTGTGACTGAAAACTAGCAAAATCCTTTGGCTGTCGAAGGAAAAAGTGTTCTTATATTTTAAGCGTAAAATAAAAGTCACGTTGCCTTCGATCAACAAAGTGGAACATCAAACAGTGTGTGAAAAATCAGTGTCCTTCCCGTGAAGTGTTGTTTTTTGTGAAGAAAAGAAAAGTTTTTTCTGTTTTACAACAGACACAACGAGTGACAAGTGATTTTGTTTGAAGTGCTTTGGAAGACAAAGGATTAACAAAATAACGGAAAACGGCGCAGTTATGTCAGCTGCAGTCATGTCGACTTCGGCGGTGTATGATTTTGGAGACACCCTCTTAAAGGTGAGTTTTGTTGTTGTTTGTGTTATTGTTATTGTTTGTCATTATTTACCAACACTTAGTACGAAACTGTCGCTAGGACCCCTGTACCCAACGCCATTCTTCGTCGCCCTATGCTATCTCGTTATCGCCCTTACGTCAACGCCGGTCATGTCAGCGTCGAGAATGTGCCCATTCCTCTCAAGGGCCGTCGATGTGCCCGGTTGTCATTGCCCAGAGCGTCGGAAGGCGGTCGCCGGCACCTCATTCGCTTCTCTTCCGCATTGTATAATAGTTACGTGCCCCTGTTTTGGTTTCCCTTTCGCTGAGCGCCGAGCCTCGCCGGGCCGTGCCGAGCCCGCCGCGGCCGGGCCGGGGCACTTGTTGAGCGCGAGCAAGGAGAGCACAACAGGTACCGGCCGGTCTTCACGACTGTAAAACGTTTGCACGTTTCAGAGTTTTCATTGGAACAACATAGTGCCCCGCGCGACCCCAAGGCTCCCTTAGCTTGACGTGGGTTGGCACTCCTGCTATCTCTCTGCCGTTCGTGTTCAGACCTGTCGCACCGCGATAAGTTGCTCAAATGCTCCCTTAGAAATGTCTCCATGGGCGCTTTGAAAATATAACGTACAGCATGTTAAGAGCACAGCAGATATGTACGTACATGCCCTGCCTGTTCAGAGCATAGCACATATGTACGATACATGTTCAGTACATTAAGAGCATAGCAGATATTGTACGACGATTCATGTTCAGAGCGTAGTGATTCGTTTTGTACAGGGCCGCTCTAAAAGTAGGGCAGACCACTTGCTCGGATTTGCTCTGCCCTTCCTCAAACGTGCGGTAACCTGTAAGGTGCAGCAGGCGCGGGGGGCGACAGGTGGTGGGGGTAACTCCTGGAGACTGGCTCTAGAGAGGCACTTGAATGACGGCAATCCTTGCGAAACCGGCACTCACCGGAAAACGTGCGCTCACTTCAGGGACTCCTTCCTGCCTCCTCGGCCGGCCACGCCACTCTCTCGCGCCGGCCCGGGCCCTGCTCGCGGGGCCTGCGCGCGGCTCGGTGTCCTTTTCCTCGGTTTACCAATTCATTCATTGCTTACTTATCGCGTGCTGTGTATCGTCGCGCCCGAGCGAAAGAGAAACTAAACTGACTTGGCAGTTTCGCCGCTCCTCGCGCGCGCACGCCGCTGCTGCTGGTCCCCGGGCCCAGCAGGCGCCGCCGCCGCCGCGTGATTTGCTCGACAGTGCAAGTGTCATGACCATTTGCATAACTCCCCGACAATTAAAGTGCAAGCCCGGGCGGCGTTGGCCAACTCCCGCTTGTATCGGTCTGGAGCGATCGGGACTGGGAGGGAGGGGGAGGGTGTGTATTGCGGTGCAAATGACTTGGCCGCCCGGCGAGTATGACTCGCCGCTATCATTAGGGATGCCGGCTCCACCTTCGTCGGCTCATTGATCGTCGCCTCTCGTGGCGCCGCCCTCGATACATTCTCAATCCGGGAAGACCCCGCCCCGCCCCGCCCCGCGCGCAGTGTCAACGCCCTGATCGGCCCCGCGAGTCCAATCGGCAATACACTATGGCCTTCTGGCATGTCCTGCACGCAGGGGCCATTCTCTCTCTCTTTCTCTCCGCCTCTCTCTCTCTATCGCACGGTCCGGCTGTACGTACGCCGCACTGCTCTACCCGTACTACACGCCATTGTCCGCGCGTCGGAGCAGATGATCTAGATGTGTGAATGGGGGCAGGGCACTCGCGAGCGCGGAGCGAGCCGCCACGCAAGGCGTGTGGTGTGGTGTTGCGTGGGTACCTCACCCCCACCCCCCTCCGTTTTTTTGCCATGATCCGGCCGCACATGTTGGAAAAAGGGGAGTTGAAATAATACTACTACTACTACTGCACGAACCAAGAGTATATCTGCATGGTTGGCTGATTTTTCCCTCGGGAGCTTGCTGTCTGTTTGCTAACCAAAGTCGCACAATTATCTCACAGCTTCCAAAAATTTCCGAGCACATCAAAAGTCGCGAACAGTGTGTGTGTGCGTATGTGCGTGTGTGTGTATGTATGGGACAGTAGAAAGAGGTGGGGGGAAGACTTTTACTACCGCGGCCTCCATTTTTTATTGCCCCCTCTAGAGCGAAGGTATGCAAGTGCAACGCTCTGACATCGCCGATTAACGCCTCCCCCCCCCTCCCCCCTCCCTCTCCCCGGCTTCACACATGCCCCCCGAGGGGAGGGCGCTGCTCAAGCCAGTGTGATTCATCCTTCAATTGACATTTGACCGGTCGGGTACGCCTCGGCCTGCGCTGGTGGCGACGGGCCCAAAGGCCGGGCCGGGTCGGGCCGGGTCGGGAAGGGGGCGGACATGCCTCTTCGCGAACGTGGCCGGGGCCGCCGCGGGCCGCGGGCGGGGTGCCGGTGGGGCGGCTGTGGTGGTGGTGGGGTCCGGTCTGGCTGGTGGGCCTGGTGGGCCCTGCCCTGCCCGGCCCGGGAGTCGAACCGGCTGACCTTCGGGACGCGCTGCGGCTTATGGCCCGGGGGCTGCGAGGGGCTCCGGGGGCCCCGCTGACGCGATGGCCATCTCGGTCCACTCCACCCGGAGGGGCCTGTAATGGATGGGCCGAGCAGGGCGTCAGCGTCAGCCGGCGTCAACCTCGTAACTGCGGAGGGGGACGACCACTCTGGGTGACCACCGCCAGGCTTATCTTGCCGTCCTCCACCACGACAGCCGCACCGAGGGCTGGACGTCGAGCGCGCCGCCCGGAGCCCGCGGGTCTGGCCGCGGCCCACGCCAAGTACTCGTTGGTGCCGGCGCGGTGGTGGTGCCCTGCCCCTGCCCGTCGAGTGTTTTGTTTGTCGCACTGATAAGACGCCTACCCGGCCCCGGCCGGCGCGGCGGCGTTGCCGCTTGCGCGCCGCGGCACCCCGGGGGCCCGCAGAGCCCCCTCCCCCCGGTCCCCGCTCCTGGGGGGCGTTGTCACAGGAGGCCTGCTGCTTTGCATATCGTTCACCCGGTGCTGTGCCGTCCTGACACGCAGTCAAATCTAATCAAACGTCACTGCATGGCTTCAGAACACACGCCAGAGCCGCTCCTGCTGCGCGGCGGCGCCCTCGTCCCCTTGCTGGTGGTTGGAATCAGTGGTGCTGTTCCCGGACTATCCGTGGGCGTTGTCGGTCACGTGAAGCGGACGTGCATGTCGCCGGCGGCGGCCTCGGCTGCGGTGCGCACGCTCGCGTCCACGTCGGCGGCGGCGGCGTTCGCGCGCGTTTGCAGTCATCATAGTGCACCACCCTCAGCAGAATGTGGCTGTGCGAATATCGCGCAGACCGATTGACTCTATTCCGAGGTGACTATCGCTGGACTTTATGACGGCCCGGCCCGCGTGTGCCATGGGCCGGGTCCGCTTATCACGCGGGGCAGGCGCCCCCGAAGTGAACTGAACGGAACCGAATAGACCACCGCCGCCCCGCCCGCCCCCTGTGGCCCGGGCTGCCCTGGCCCGAGGTGGCCGATAACGCTGTGCTATCTGTACACTGTTCGCGGCAGCCCCGGGCCTCGCTCGCTCGGAAGTGGAAACGTATTGCTTTGGAGCCATACACAACGTGTGTTTTCTTTTCCTCCCGGAGGCTGGCCGTGGCGTGTTGCGAGAGATGCCCCCCCTGCGTGTGTGCAGAACTGTTATCTCTTTCTCTCTCTCTCTCGCCTGTCCACCACTGCCATGCACTTGGCAGCTGAGGGGGTGTGGTGTGGTGTGGAGGAGGCTGGGCAGGGACCTGCACAATGCAAGCCCCCCTCCGGACCTTTTCTCGTCCCTTATAATAGACGCAGGCAGAGACCCAGAGGACGACCCTCATCTCTCCGTCCTGAGACTCCCCCCCCCCCTCCCCCGGGCACTCCTCACCCCGACCTGACCCGCCTCACCCCGGGCCAGGGGAGGGGTATAAGGGTTTCTATTGCGACAATAGAGGGGGAGGAGGGGTCGCCGCCAGGCTGCCGTTGACTGGGATCAGGTGCCTCGAGAGGCTACGGCACGGCACCTGTGGATGGATGGATGGGCATGGTCATGAGAGGGTGCAGCGTGCGTGAGGTGTGTGTGTGAGTGTGTGTGTGTGTGTGAGGTAGTGTGTCGGTGTGTGAAGTGGATTGCATCTCTTCTCCTTCATCTTCTGCTCCTTCTCGGTTGAGTAATCGCTCGGCAGGCTTCGCGCCGTGTAGCTGCTGCGGCGCATATCATTTTTTGAGATTACGACGCGGCTATCGTCGTCGTGTTTTACACGGGCCACAATTTTTTTAACGCTTGCCTCTCTATCTCTCTTCTCTTGCTCTCTGTCAGCCAATGGTGACGGTGCATTGCCTCACGCCCGACCAATGGCAGCGCTGCAATCGCCTTTTTTTGTACATGTATTTTTGTTTTTCCTCTTTCCTCTCGTGTTCTTTCTTCTCTGACCTCGCCGCGCGGTGGCGTGCATTTAGGTTTCCGGCGGCGTTTGTCATTCAGTGAAATAAGAATATTGTCCGCGCGAGTCGTTGCCTTCTCCGAGACTCATGTTTTCCAAATCTCTTCGTCGTTCCGTAACACTGCCTGGCGAGGGAAGAGGAGGGGTAAGCCTGGGGGCAAGCTTACCTTACGTACCCCCTCGCCCCGACCATCAGGACCTTTTTTTATCGGGTCCTCTCGATTTCTGTCGAGTGCCCCTCCTCCCCTTCCCCGGCCTGAAAGGGGCCCATCCTTCTCCCGCAAGCACGGCTGCCCCTTTTTATCGGTGCTTCATCACTTTCAAATAAGCGTCGCACTGGAGGCACTGACGGAAAGGTACCCATCACGGCACGTTTTGCTTATTCACGACCTCTTTCCGAGGGTGGCATCGTCGTGGATGGCCTCAGCGGGCCAGGCCCATCCCCCTTCCCTTCGCTTCCGCCTCCCCTGCCCCCGGGGCCACGCACCTCCCCGACCTTGCACGACGCAGAGCTCCCGGGTGACTCATGGGTGGCGCCCGACTCGACGCACGGCCAGAGCGGACG